TTTTTTTTGGCAGAACCAGGGATTGAACTCAGGCCCTTGCACTTGCCAGGGAAGCAATTATTCCACTGAGCCATCTCCCCAGCTATATCTCTAATTGAGGTGAAAAATGAGGTTAACCTTGCTGAGGAGTTTATGTTTTCAAAATTCTTGTCAGAGTTTTCTATCATAATTTTTAAAATTGTATTTGGATTTAGCTTCATAATGTTATTGTTATGATGAAATAATTCAAGTAAGCAGGAAAATAGGGAGAATAACATAATAAACACACATAAGCCTGCTATGTAGATATACCCACTGTTATTCTTTTCCAGTATCTTTAGATTTCTCTTTAAAGAAATATCTATATTGTTTAGTGCTCAAAGAAATAAGAAAATGACTTTACTTAGAAGAGAGTCTGTATAGCTTCTTTCTATTCCCCCCCGCCCCGTATTTTAGGGAAGGGGCTACAGGGTGTTCAGGGTCTCACTACTAGATTGGATTTATAGTGATTCTCCTGTTTACAGCCTCCCAAGTGCTGGGATTACAGGTGTGTGCCACCACGCCCAGTCTCAATAGCTGTCTCATTGCGCTCCCCTCCCCCGAGGGCGGGGCCAGCACGGCAGGCCCTGGGATCAAACCCCTGGCCCCTGTGCCTGCTTGCAGGTCCTTTAATTCACTGAGCTATTTGGCCAGCCCCTACTTTCTATTTTATTTATGAAATAGTGTTCATTTTATTTCTAAGGCCTTTCCAAAAAAAAGTAATCTTATTGCCTTTTGAATTGTCAGATTATTTCCAGCTTCTTCTGACAGAAATGAGGGTAGGCCTGGCCTTTCAAGCACTGAGTTTATAACTGATGTCATTTCTTAACAGACAGTCCTGGTTTCCACCACCTCCTCCGGGTTACAGCACCACCCCAAGCACAGAAGCCAGCAGAAGGTGAGGGGAAGACGTCACATGTAATTGCTATGTCACTGGGCGGAAGTACTTGTCAGACATTGACAACATATCATTGTAAATGCTTTGGAATAATTGGAGGCAATTTTGTGTGGTCTGGGCTCTGAACAAGACAGGGCCCCGTGTTGAGTGAGGTCAGGGTTACGAGTCCCTCTGGCAGGAAATCCGAAAAGCTAAAGGAAGGAGTAAATTGGGTGGTTGTGTTCGTTTGCTAGCATTACCATAACAAATTGCCACAAACTGGATGGCTTATCAATAAACTTACTACCTCACAGTTCTGGGAGGCGAGAAGTCTGAGGCCAAGGTATTGTTAGCACGGTGAGTTTCTTGTGGGGGCTGTAAGGGACTGTGTTCTATGCTCTCCTCCAAATGCTGGTGGCTTCCTGGGAGTCTTTGAGTCCCTCGGATTAGTACATGCGTCACTCCCACCTGTACCCTCACCCTCATGAAGCATTCATTGTTTTTTGAGCCTGAATTTCCTTTTCTTATAAGAACACCGGTCACATAGTATTAAGTCTTCCTACTCCAGTGTGACCTCATCCTACATCTGAAATGTGCCAATTTCCAAGTAAAGTCACATTCTGAGTGGGGTTAGAGCTCAACAGAACTTAGAGGAAACACAACTGAACCCCTATCAGTGGCAGAGAGAAAGAGCACCCTCTCCATGTTATAGCACTTGGTGAGTGGCAAGCAAGGGTTGCAGTGTGAGCCTCTGGCATTTTGCTGCTTCTAGACTGGCTGGAACCCCAGTGGCCGGGTGGGATGTAAGTGGCCAGCTTCCTGTAAAGGTAAGTGACAGGTGTGTGTTTTGTACTTGTTTATTGTTCTCAAGAGCAATACGGCTTCCCACAGTTGTAACTCATGAGGAAGACACCTTATTCTATAGTTGCCATAGCAGGCTTGCCAGTATCAGTTCAGCTTAGTAAGGAAATATCGATGATAGCTAGAAGAGTGACTGTGTTCTAGAATTTTGGAGTTTACCATTGAACAAAACAGAGCTTATGCTGTGGACTTTAAAGAAGCATTTTTTGTTTGCTTTTTAAAAATAATTTTATTGAGAAGCAAATAGCAATGAGACAGTTTCAAGACTGATCAGTAGGACAGTTTCAATAATTAATATATTGAATATTGTCTCAGTGGTTATTCATTGTACAACATGCAGACATGACATCCCATCCACAAACACTATTAGAACAAATCTTGTTATTCACTGAATTAAGAGAATGTAGCTGTATATCTATTCTAATTATTTTGAATATACATATACAAAATGATCATTCATTTGTATCTCCATTTTTTGTTTAGTTTTGTCAGAGAAGGGTATTCCATTATCATTTAAATATTGTAGATCAGTGAATTCAGCAAAATATTCCAATATAGTCCACTAGTTCATAGTAGTAGTGGGTCATCCGCAGGACTGGCTATGTCAGAAGTTGTTGACCTGAGCCCTTTACAGTCCAGCATACCAACATGGCTTCACACCTTATGCCCTGCTTTTATACCTTTCTGTTGGGTGGTTAAGACCAAGATAAAGCAAGACCTATATAACAAGGAATGTAATTTTTCAATCTGATAAGGTCAGTCAAATCTCCTCAGGATTTATCCTAAAGCCCTGTACCACAGTTTGCAGATCTTTTGTCATTGTCAGCCATGTGGATGAGTCATGGCCATTGCTTAACCAATTTGCTCTCTGTGAAAGCCTGAGAGAATGTTTTCTCTCGATGTGACTCTCCTTAGGCTACATCACTGATCACTTTCCTCTTTGGCCCCATAATCTCCTTGATCAGAAAATTTGGGACACAACTGAGTTACATGATGTTACGCTATGGGTTCCCCTATGTCCTGAGTCTTCACTGACCTTGAAAGGCTAGGGCCAAAATGTTGGCTGTCCTTACAGCCCTTCTTTTTCTCTAATTTTTGGTCTGCAAACTTAGGTTGTTAACCCCTCCAGGAGAGAAGCTTATTATTACCCTACAACATATGCAGTTGGATTTAACTTCACTATCTGTCTGAATATCAAACATCCTAGGTATAACATGGAACAGTATTATCCATCAAGTACTGATATGTTAAACTTTAAGTCCCTACAGAATATGAAGAAAAAAATTTAAAAAATTAAAAATTAAAAAAAGGAATAAGCAATTACATATTTTTATACAGAAATTTAGAAATCTAACCATATACAGCATTGTATCAAGACAGTCCTGTGACATTTTTTTTCTTGTCTCTTTTTTCATTTATTACCCTTTTCTTTTTTAAACAAACATTTACTTGAGATAGTATGGCAATAATTGGTATATCATGACAAGCAGTATGTATTTAGAAGGCCAGAGTGACAGGCATTCTAAACATGACCCTACTATACACATTGCTATCTTTAGTGCAGTTGCTTAGTTCACAGGTATCAGCATATATAGTTAGTTAGGGTTATAAGCCTACCAATTAACTTCTAGTTTCAAAAACCTGCTGATGTTTCTCAGGATCATTGCCTTACCCATCTTGTGCATATAAGTATATGGCTTTGCCCCTGTCATGTTTCCTAGCTTTTCTCCTTGCCCTCTCTTCATTGTCTAATCTTTAAGTTCTTGCTTTCCCTTTAATTGTGTTATACCTTTCTATTTGTATTTCTTCTTTTGAGTTCTTGTACTAGGGAGACTATATGATATTTACACACATGGGTCTGGTTTATTTCACTTATGAGTATATCTTCAAGTGGTATCCACTTAAATATAAATGCAAAAAAGCATGTTGTATAAATGTATAGAATCTATATCATCACTACCTACCACAGAAAGAAAAATAGGTCTCTCTTATGGTATGACTTCCATTTCTTCAAGTGTTTTCATGTCTCAACTGCTAGAATATCAGCTTGTTTTCTTACTTCCCACTAATGGAAAAGAGGGTACTATTAAACTAGGTAGATGTTGAATAGTAGATTGATTTATTTTGTAAAGATTTCCTCTCCTGGGCTGGGGAGATGGCTCAGTAGAATATATGCTTCCCTGGCAAGCATAATGGCCTGAGTTCAATCCCCAGTTCTGCCAAAAAAGAAAAAAAAAGAAAAGAAAAAGAAAAGAAAAGAAAAAAAGAAAATAAAAATTTATCTCCCATTCATACTCTAGTGACTTCTTTCCAAATGATGGAAATACTGGGAAATAAATTTCTTCAATATAATTTTTATTAGATCTATCAGGATATGAATAATTTTCAGCTGATCAACAAACACAAAGATCTCAAGTTGCTTTTTCCCCACACCTATCCTTGAGTCTGTAATATATATACAGTCTGTAATTATATATATATATATATATAATAAACTGTACATGAAATTATTACATATACTGAATCATCACAACTTGGAGTCACATCTACCTTCTGTTAAAAGTGTTCTTTGTAAACTTCATCTACAATTCCAATTATGTGAACTGCCGAGAATCAAAATGCTTCTATTTTAAACTATCTAGAATGTTTCAAATATTCTCTTTCTCCCAAGAAGTATTAGGTATTTCTCTGGAGCTACTTTTCATTGGCTACCTAAACAGCAAAAAATGTAAAGTAGGAGTTTTGCTAGTGACAATTTTTCCATATCTATCCTATTAAGGTCTTTATAGATAATAACTGGCACTTTTCCTAGAAATACTTATTACTTACCTCAAAAAACATATTTTTGTCTTCCATTTATTATTCTAATATTAAAGTAAATTGTCACTATAATAAGCAAGTAGTTCTATAGCTGTATAAAAATTTGCAAAGATAATTCCTGAGCCAACATTTCATATTTTCCATGTCCATTGAGTGTGTGGCCCTATTTGCACAGAACTGGCAGCTCCTGGCTAGAAGACCTTACTCTACGCATTGTGGGCTGTGATTGACATGGAAGATACAATGCTCCTTTTAATGATTACTGGCTTGGATCCGTACCACCAGAATCAAGGAGAAGAGGAGATTATTTGGCTTGGTTTGTCAGTTTAGATACCGGCTTATTTTTAAGAGTCACAGATTATTAATAGAATAGCTAGCCTTCTCTTTGAGGATTGGAGATAATATCATGCCAAGCTTTCAAGGGAAAGAGTGAACAAGAACAGGATAGCAATGCTTTTGAGTTCTAAAGTGCTTTACTTTAGAGGGACTCAAAGTCCAGCTTCTGTTTTTTCCCTTTAATGCCTGTGCATAATCAGGCCTGATAAATCATCTTTTTAGTAAATGCTGAACAGTGGAGCAATTATTAGATGATGAAAAGGAATAGGTGTAAAGAAAGATCTTTGCCCACAGAAAAGCCCAGAGAAAATAAAAATAAGTCAAAAACAGATAACAATGGAGAGGGGATCTAGTTTTTAATACCAGTTAATAACACAATGTTGAACTTATCTTTATCTTTCACTAATATGCTGGTATCCTTTTTCCTTTCTCTTCTTTCCCATCTTCTCCAGAAGAATTTTTTAGTATTACTGTATTTCTATCTCTCTCTCTGTCTCTCTCTGTCTCTGTCTCTCTGTCTGTCTGTCTCTCTCTCTGT